CGCCAGGATGGTCTCGATCTCCTGACCTTGTGATCCGCCCGTCTCGGCCTCCCAAAGTGCTGGGATTACAGGCTTGAGCCACCGCGCCCGGCCAAAAAATTTTTTTTCCTGTAGACTTGGGGTCTTGCTATGTTGTCCAGGCCAGTCTCAAACTCCTGGCCTCAAGCGATCCTCCCACCTCGACCTCCCAAAGTGTTGGGATTACAGGCATGAGCCACTGTGCCAGGCCTGCCAGCATCTTGATCTTGGACTTCCCAGCCTCCGGAACTGTGAGAAATACATTTCTGTTGCTCATAAATTATCCAGCCTGGCCAGACACTTTGGGAGGATGTGGTGTGAGGATCGCTTGAGCTCAGGAGTTCAAGATCAGCCTGGGCAACACAGCAAGACCCCATCTCTACAAAATAAATAAATGAATAAATAAATTACCCTGCCTAAGGTATTTCTGTTCTAGCAGCAGGGACAGATGAAGACACACACGCATACACACACGGCCTGCATGCAGTTGTGGGTGAAGTTTATTAAGGCAATACTGAATGCCAGAGCATTTCAACAAGGCTTGCCAGACAGGCCCCAGCACCTTTCTACACTACATTGAGGCTTAGAAGCTCAGTGTTCCACCCCATCCCCAGGACGCCCACTTAGACCAGAAATCCAAGTCCATTAGCTACAGGCTGATATCCAGGGACATTGGTGTAAACAAAGAAGTGGGATATGAACTATATCCCTGATTTTTTTTTTTTTCTTTCAGACTAAGTCTCGCTCTTGTCCCCCAGGCTGGAGTGCAATGGCGTGATCTTGGCTCACTGCAACCTCTGCCTCTCGGGTTCAAGTGATTCTCTTGCCTCAGCCTCCCGAGTAGCTGGGATTACAGGCGCCCGCCACCACGCCTGGCTCATTTTTATTTTTTTGTATTTTTAGTAGAGACGGGGTTTCACCATGTTGGCCTGGCTGGTCTTGATCTCCTGACCTCAGGTGATCCGCCCACCTCGGCCTCCCAAAGTGCTGGGATTACAGGCGTGAGCCACCGCACCCGGCCTATATTCCTGACTTTTAACAAGGAAAAAAAAATTCTGTGGGGGAGAACTTCCCTGAAAAAATATTTTTCTGGACATCTCTCTCTACTGACTGATAGGGAGAGGCTCAGAACACGCTTCCTCCAAGCTCAGAGGGACTGAGAGATTGGCCAGCTGGGTGATGCCCCAGTTTTGAGACCCTTAGCTTCCCAAGCAGACAGCACAGAAGAGCTGCTGGAGTGGCCAGAAAATCGGTTTGAAAGGAGCCCTGGGTTGAAGACTCCAGAGCAGAGCTGCAGCATAGAGACGGGGCCCACTGCGTCCTGTCCTCTCCCCCTACTTCTTCTCCTCTGGGGCTTTTTCAGTGATTCCGGGGGCAAAGGGTCCCACGAGCCACGTGACAGGTGTGTTCTGGGCCACGTATTCCACCATGTGGTCCAGAGCCTCGCGGGCGCTGGTGACGCGCTCTCGGCTCTGGGCCAGGATGCTGCTGGACAGGTCCTGGAAGGAGTGGATGCTGGAAAAGGTAGCTTGGAGGTCCTCCACCTGGCGGCGGGCCTGCTGTACCTGGTCCTTCACATTGGTGGGGAGGCCCTGAATGCTGGACCCCAGGGAGGTACAGGTGGCCTGCAGCTGCTGGGCAATGTCCCGGAACATGGTGAGGGCCCGGGACTCGACCTGCTGAGAAGGGAGGTGGGGACACCAATCAGGACCATTTGTTTCAGGAAAGGCAACTGGAGCTGAAGCCAGGGAAAGAGGGATTCTACCACTAACCTTGGGGAAAACCCTTTCCATAGGTGAAATTTTTTTTTTTTTTTTTCAGACAGTCTCATCCTGTCGCCCAGGCTGGAGTGCAGTGGCGCGATCTTGGCTCACTGAAAGCTCTGCCTCCCGGGTTCACACCATTCTCCTGCCTCAGCCTCCCGAGTAGCTGGGACTACAGGTGCCCGCCACCACACCCGGCTAATTTTTTGTATTTTAGTAGAGACGGGGTTTCACTGTGTTAGCCAGGATGGTCTCCATCTCCTGACCTCATGATCCACCCGCCTCGGCCTCCCAAAGTGCTGGGATTACAGGCGTGAGCCACCGAGCCCGGCTCTTTTTTTTTTTTTTTTTTGAGATAAGAGCCTTGCTCTGTTGCCCAGGCTAGAATACAGTGGCATGATTTTGGCTCACTGCAACCTCCGCCTCCTGGGTTCAAGCGATTCTCTTGCCTCAGCCTCCCAAGTAGCTGGGACTACAGACGCATGCCACCACGCCCGGCTAAATTTTGTATTTTTAGTATAGATGGGGCTTCACCATGTTGGCCAGGCTGGTCTTGAACTCTTTACCTCAAGTGATCTGCTCTCCTCAGCCTCCCAAAGTGCTGAGATTACAGGCATGAGCCACTGCGCCCAGCCTCTTTTCTTTTAATTAGAAACAGGATCTCACCCTGTCGCCCAGGCTGGAATGCAGTGGTGTGATCATAGCTTACTGCAGCCTCTAATTTCTGAGCTCAAGTTATCCTCTCATTTCAGCCTCCTGAGTAGCTGGGACTACAGGCACTCACTACCATGCCCAGCTACATTTTTAAAATTTTCTGTAGAGCCAGGATCTCACTAAGTTGCCCAGATCTTAAACTCCTGGGCCCAAGTGATCTGCCCACTTCAGCCTCCCAAAATGGTGGATTTACAGGCATGAGCCATTGCATTCGGCCACCAGTCAAATTTTTTTAAAAGCATAGACAAATCACCAAAGAAGATATAGGGAGAGCACATGAAAAGCTGCTTGACATTGTAAGTCATTAAGGAAACGCAAATCAAAATCATAAGGAGCCCTGGCATGGTGGCTCATGCCTGTAATCCCAGCACTTTGGGAGGCTGAGGCGGGTGGATCACCCGAGGTCAGGAGTTCAGCCTGATCAATGTGGTGAAACCCCCATCTGTACTAAAGATACAGTTACTTTGGAAAACAGTCTAGCCGTTCCTCAAAATGTTAAACCATAGAATTATCGTATGACTCAGCAATTCTAGTTGTGGGTATATGCACAAGAGAAACGGAAACATACGTCCACACACAGAGATATGCACACAGGGACAAGGCAAAAAGTGGAAACAACTCAAGTGTCCTTCGGTTGATGAATGGGTGAAGAGAACGTGATTCATCCATACAACAGAATGCGACTCAACCACAGAAAGTCACAGGGATCTGACCCAGACCACAGCGTGGATGAGCCCCAAGGACGTCACGCTCAGCGTGAGAAGCCAGACACAGAAGGCCAAACAGGGTGGGATCCCATTTCTATGAAATGTCCAGGGCAGGCCCATCCACAGAGACAGGAGAGGATATGTGGTCGGGAGGAGGAGAAAATGGGACAGTGATTGCTGATGGGAAAAGGGTTTCTTTTTAGGGGCATGAGATGAGATAGGGATAGTTGTGCAATGCTAAGAACCAGTGATGTGTATGCTTTTTTTTTTT